CAACCTCAGGCCATACTCATAAGTGGAATAAATCAAACTCACAAGGGTAAATACCATTTTTTCTCTGATGATAAGAAACTGAAAGAGTAAATAAGATATAAAATCTTCAATAAACATTGTGAAAGAATAAGAAACTCCTCAAAGGGGAAAAAATAGGGAAAAGGAGAAAATAGGGGAAATAAAATATATAACTTTGTATACATTCACTTAAGATAGCTAAGATGATTGTACTACTAATTCTATTAGTTCTTGGAATGAAGCAGTTAATATTTACAGAATTAGATCAATTTTGCATGTTTATATCTAGTAATCTGAATAACTATTTCAAAGATAACTGTGCAAAATAACAAGCTTAATTATGTTCCTACCACCTGATTCTCAAAATCTATATTGCTATGATTTTGGGCTCTTTGTTTTTGTTATTTATTTTTCACTTTTGTTTTTTGTACAATAGATATACATGTATAGGCTTATAGATGCCCACAAGTTCTATTAAATAATTTACAAGAATTGATTTTATTATGTGTGACAGTATGAACAGTTATTTTTAATAAAATGAGACATTTTGGTAGCCATTGCTAATTTTCTGATGTTTAATTATGAAGTCCAATACTTTTTATTCATTATTTTGATTCATTTTATTCTGTTTTCTGTTATTTGATTTCAGTATATGTGAAGGTATGGACAGCTATTTGGAAAAGAACAAGAGACATTATGGTAGCCATTGCTCATTTTCCTTTTATGTGATTCTAAAGGCCAGCAATGCTTTCATTGTTTTGTTTTGATCAGTTTCATACTGTTTTGTTTTGTTTGCATTCATTGTGCATTGTGTTTGCATTCATTGTGTGTGTCCATGAATTTGCATTCATGGACAACGAAATTGGGAAGAACAAGAGACATTATGATAGCCACTGTAGATTTCCTGTTGTCTTGTTTTGAAATCTTGTGTTGCTTGCAATATTTTGTTCTATCTGCCTTGTTTTATTTTGTTTTATTCTCTGTAAAGTAAAAAATAAAAGAAAGGATTCTTGCGAATGAAAGTAATTATTTTAGGTAGGATGCTGCCCAAATTTCTTCAAAAAAAAAAACCTCTTGCCTAAGAACAGATGGATTTGTAAATTTTCCATAATCACAAGTCTTCCAAGGAAATGTGGCCGTAGGTTTAGGAAATAGTAATTATGAGCAGGAGTAGAAGCAGAGACAATGGGACACCACGAAGATACTAAATACTTGCATAATGGAACATGCAGAAAAACATAGGGAAAAGGCCCAAAAGGTGTATATCAAGAAATTGTGGCTGAAAACTTCCATAAACAAGAATGGATGCCAAAATATAGAAGCATAAAGCAAAAATGGCACTGGTTCATTTCAAAAAATGAGAACATCAAAGTCACAGAATAGTGAAAGTTTTAAAAATCAAAGATAAGGAAAAATTATAAATGTATCAAGAAATAAGGACCATATCACATACAAGGGCATGATGACAACCAGAAGATTTCACAGTAGGAACTCTGATGACAGAAGGGAGTATAATAATCCACTGAATACATTAAAGGAAAAACATGAGCCAACATGAATACTGTATGGGAAAGCTATCTTTCAGAAATGGAGAGGGAATGACACTTCTCCAAACAAGCAAGAGCTTATCAATTCACCCTTCTTCATGTACCTTAGAAGAATCGCTAACCAGAATTCTCTAAACTATAACAAAATATACATGAGTAAAACTCAAATTAAAAGTAACTCAGGACCACATTCTGAATACCGTCACACTAGAATGACAATATGTACAGAAATTTTACCACAGCTTGAGAGTTAAAAGTAAAAAAAAAATTACAAAAATACTTAAATCATCAATTGTAAACGAAACAAATTGCCATAAAAATGATATCAAAATGACATGTTGATATCAAAAATAAATGGGGAGAAATATAGAGTTTTATGCAGTCAAAGTTAAGTCATTATCTGCATAAAACAGACTTTTGTAAGTGGAAAGTGCTATATAGATGCTTTATCATAACCAACTAAATATCTTCAGTGAAGTCACACAAACAACACACACACAACTGAGTGGACAGGATTAGAAGAATACCACTACAGAAAACAACCAAATCACAAAAGAGGGTAGGAATGGAAAAGAACATAATATTTACAAAATAATCAGCAAACAACCCCTAAGATCACAGAATTTATAAACTCAATAATTACCTTGACTGTATCAATTACATTCTCTAATAAAATGACTTAAATTGACCAAATGCAGTGTTGAAAGCACTTGAGTATTTATGTCCTTCAGTAAACAAGACAAACCTCACCTTTTAAGACATACATAGATTCGACGTGAAGGACTGAATGTTTTATTATATCTAACTGGAAACTGAAGGGGAATGGTGGTGTTTAGTTAGAATGGACAATGTACTGTAATGAAAAAACACTGTAAAAATAAAAATAAAGACATATTTTGATAAGGAGGTAAAGTCAACAAGAGGCTATAATAATTTTAAATTTTTCAATATCCAACAACTGACCACCTCCCTATATAAAGAAAATATTAAAGAGTCTAAGAAAGAGATTATCATACAATAATAGTAGGGGACTTCAATATCCTATTTTTAACAATGGAGAGGTCATCCAGATAGTATATTCATAATGAAATACTGGACATAAACAGCATTTTGTATCATATGGTCCTAACAGAAATATGTAGAATATCCAATTCAACACAAACAGCATAGGTTTCTAAATATTCTGCAGAGTAAATCACATATTGGGGCATGAGACAATCTTCTCCTAATTTAAGAAATCTGAAATTATACCCACCATCTTTTGGAACTACACTGGAATGATACTAGGGATTAAAATAGGAACTTTGAGAAAATTCACAAATTCATGGAAGTAAAGCAATATCCTCCAGAACAATTAATGAGTCAACAAGAAACATTGATATGGAAACTTTAAAATATTTTCAGATCAATGAAAGATTACAATACAGCAAAATAGTTCTAAGACAAAGGCATACATCAATAACACCTACATCTGCAAACAAGAAAGATATATGAACAACCTAAAGATACGCTGCATTGAACTAGCAAAAGAACAAACCAGCACCAAATTTATTAGTAGAAATGAAACAAAAAAATAAAGCATTATAAAAATGTTTAAAAGATTTACAGTTGGAATCTTCAAAATGTAAACAATATTGACAAACATTTAGCTACACTATCCAAAAAAGAGAACACTCAGGTAATACAAAAGCGAAATGTACATTAAAATTGGCACTATAAAAATAAAGGGCTGGGAATTTAGCTCAGAAGCATAAGCACTTGCTTGGCAACCATGAGGTTGTGAGCTGTATCCTCAAAACAAAAACAAAACAAAGGAACATGAATTACTAATAATATCACATGCACACTAATTTGAAAACCTACTGAATGTGAATAAATTCCCAGTCTAATTAACACTGACTTAAATAAAAAACAGTTAGAATTGATTCATAGCAGTATGGAAACTTAATCAGTAATGAAAAATTATCAAAGACAAATCGAGGTTCTTTTGGCTTAACTGATGAATTATGTCAAAATTTGAAGAACTAATTCCAGTTCTTCTCAGTTGCTTCCTAAAATGCAATTAAGATGAATATTGAAAAATTTTTTATTTCACTCTTATACTTCTACTAACATAAGGCATGTATATTACAAAAAGAAAATTACAGTGCAATATTCTTCATGAACATAGATGTAAAAATCTTTAAAAATGCTACAAAATTGAGTTCAAGAATGCATTGAGATTAATCCAAAATAAAATAGGATTTTCCAGTGGTGTGCAAAAATTGTGATGAATCACATTCTAAAATGACAGAGAAAAATATGGTCATCTTCTTATATGCAGGAAAATAAATAGAAGAAAAGCCAGTGATTTTCATGTTAAAAGCTATGAAATTAAGGGTAAAAAATGTGTAACAACACAAGAAAGGCAAAATCTGAGCAGCACTCTGATTGTATTATTCTCTAATGTGAAATGATTGAAAGCCTTTCTCATAAAATCTGGAAAAAGACAAGGGTGGTTGTTCTTACCATCTCTACATTGGAAGTCCTTGCCAAAGCAATTATACAAAAAAAAATTAAGGTGATCTAACAAAAAACTGAAGATATCATTCTTTGCTTATGACATAATAATTATAGCTAAAAAACCCTGTAAGCTTCACTATAATTGGTTAGAACAAATAGATGCCCTCTGCTTTTAGCGGTCTTCCTCCTGGACCACATCTCTGAAGCAATAATGAACTTCTATACTTCTTCCACATTTAACAGCTAACTTAAATTGAATCCAGCTTTAACTTTCAGAGCATTTCAGATTACTCCAGTGTTTGAGTTGTAGTCCAGCATACCACACTAGCCTCCAAGAAGAAGCCCCTGTAGCAGACGCCGCTGATGCCTCATTCATAACTATGATTCTGGACGGGTCAGCTTAGCTCCTATTATCAGCATCAGTAGTGTATATTCTCCATCTTTTGGATGACAACTTAGGTCATGGCCCATGCTTTTTGGAGATCAAATCTGATACAATTAACAACTACTTGGGACAGCCTTCCACCTACCATGTGTGGATACTGTTGAATGAATGCCCAGCACCTTGCTGTGCAGATAGAACAACCCTGATACATATCTTCTGCTTTGTTCCCACAGTTCTCCAGGTCTGGTTTTGCATAACAGAAAAATGCTTGACTAGACACTGTTTTCAGCTTCCATTTCTTTCCTGCATCATTTCCTCATATTTCCCCACTGATATTTGCTAGGATTACTTCACAAACTAGCAATTTGTATTTAAACCCTAATATCAGTCCATTCCTGACAGAAACAAAACAAAACAGATCCTGGTCCTTAGGTGAGAAGGGATCAGTCTTTCAGTCTTGACCCCAAAACTTCATCATCTGTCTAAATAGGAGTTAGGCAGCTCAGAGACTGAACATGGTGTGTGAGCATCTATTTTCCAGGACTCACCTCTGTGGCCACGAGCTGCAATCACAGATGGGATACCAAACATCAAATCTCCCATTAAGTCCAGGAACAGTTCTCTCTTTTTGACGAGGTCATCTGTCCCTCCTAAATACATCTCAGTGACCACTGCTGTCAGTTCCTCAGGAACATTCTGAAATGCAGCAAGAAAGTGACAACCTGAACCTGGTGAGTAATGTAGACTCTCCAACTAATTCACAAGACCTCATTTATGGTGAAAGTCTTGATCCCTGTGCAAATTCCTCCCTGGGTAGTAAAGTGGAAGACAGAAAATTGGGCCAAGATGCAGACTTTACACTACTGAATTGCTCTGTAACTTTGCGAAGGCCCCAATCCTTCTTTGTTGTTCTACTAATTCACATGATTTCCAACCAGCTTACAGCAAAGGGATACAACGTCCACAAGAGTGATGCGGCCATCTTCTGATCCAGTTTGTCTTCAGGGATTACACCTCCAAGCATCTGTTAATAGAATGGTTAAATGTTTGTGAGGAATCATGAAATATCAGGAAGCCAACCAAACCAATATAACATGAAACTTCTATGTTGGCATCTGGATCTTTTATGACTTTTAAAGTATCAATGAAACAAATGAACTTACATTCAGAATGCACAGACCTAAATGACTGAGCAAAAGAAAACCATCTTTGTATTTGTTGTAATGACAGATTTTTCTGAACTGAGAACTTCAGAACTCTTGTTGGTTCAAATCTTCACACTGAGATACATAAACCACATCCTATCCAACATGACCCAAGTATCCTAAAGTGACTGCTCAATACTGTCACACACAGAGATTATGGCTACTTTAGAAAGCTTAAAATTCTCCCTATTCCTCTTCCTTTTGAAACATAAATCTCATTCAAAACAGTTTCTTCAACAGTTTCTCCTTAGTTCTGAGAGCTAATTTGAAAGAAAAATATTTTGATCCTTCTCTGAAATATATAAATATTTGGGGATATGACTCTAGATCTCTCTGAAAGTCCCAAAGAGAATAGTCTAACCTCTGTGGGTGCCTCACTTGAACCTGTACTTCTTTTTTTTTTTTTTGTCTTTTTCACTTTTATCAGTATGGGGGATTGAACTCACGACCGCCTGTATGCCACTAAGCCAAATCCCCAGCCCCCAAACCTGTACTTCTGATTCATGTCATAAAAATAAGTTTGTTTCTCCTGCAGATGAGCATGGGGGAATAAATCCAATGGTCTGGCCACTTTGATCCTCCCATTACCCCTAGATGCCTTCCTGCACTCACTCAGCCTTAAACATCTCCAGGCTTTAATGTTACAGATTTGAGTTCAAGTCATGTTTGATTTTTCACTACTGGTCTTCTCTTTACTGCAATCAAATTACTGAATAAAACCTGTTCCAGTGTTTTATGTAGTATATGATTTTGCTTTCAGTGACAGAGAAACACCCTTCTTCCATTTTAATACAGAACTGTATTTTAAACAGAGTGAAGGTCTCTGACTCTTGCCAATGAAATACCAGAGATCTCAGGTGGAGATCTAGGGAAACCAAAGTACAGGCCCAATGTAGAAGTTGTTGTACCCTACATACAATCTCCTGACTCCCCAACTTCTTCAACTTTCTGCAATTCCTTGGTTTGTACAACTACACCATTATCTCCTTAGTCTGGATATTTATTTCAGCATTGTTTCATGGGAATACAATCAAATTTGTTTTAGGAAAAGTTTTTTAAGGCAGCAGCATGCAGCTGATACCTGAATATGGGGAGGAGGTGCATCTGTCTAAGAAGTCTGTGCATACTTACCATGGGAATGACCCAGCCAAACTCTTGCTTGTTGAATCCTACCATATAGGGAACGAGGTTGAAATTCTTTTCAGCCATCATCTCTTCAGGTGCTTTGGGCAGCAGCACACCGTCAACAACAGTGGGCACAAACATATACTTCTGGGGAAGACAGCATAATGCTTATCATTACTCTGCCTGTGAAAACACACATGTTCCTCTCTGTCTATCTGAGAGTGTGACCGTAATCAACATCTCCCCTGGCAGTGATCGGTTGACCGAGAACTCGAAATCTATTAGCCTCCCATGGCAGAAAGAGTGATGGTGAAGTGATGCGGGTGGGAGAGAAGAAGGGGAATTATCACTCAAATTAAAATATCCACCATTACAATGTTCATAAAGCAAATTCTGGTGTTTTAAAATAGTTATGGATACAAAATTACAATGAATGCTGAATTAGTGAACACTGGATAATTTTCCAAAGGTAATTCCACAGTTCCTGGGGGCCTCTGTCACATTATGATCACTTTTATTTTTAGGTACTTACTGGAAGATTTAATATACAATGCAAACTTGTTACAGAGAATTAGTTGCATGTAAAATTTATTTATGTTCATATGCAACCTGGGAAAGGTCAAAAATTTTTGTGACCCTTTGTAATGCAATTTTAAATTTTTACACTTGTGCTCGTAGCAATGCCATCTACTACACTTTTTGCAAATTTGCCATTGCATGAATACACTGATTTAGCTGTTTACCAACTTGGTTACTGCTATGTCATTTACACTGATATTATGCTACTACTTTTCAAAAGGGCTTCACAGTGAGGTAGGGAAATCTCTTCTTACACTGGACTGATAGTACTATTGACTCATTAACATGGAAATCATGGGGAAGAGTCTCACATGTGAAGGCTGAATGAAGTAGAACTATCTGTTGTCTTTCCTCCATAAAACATTCTACTGTTCTTATAAACAGTAGATAGCATTTTAACACTGTTTGAAAGGCATCTTAAACAGCAAAATTGCTAGTAAAGGCAATATTACCAAAATAGTGCACTTCAGACATGCCTCAAAAGACACTTCTTTTCCTGAGAGATGGAACAACAAGACAGATTTTCTCACTTGACCTCACATGGATACATGGAAATGATGCTCCTAAACTTTTTCAGCATCTGCATGTACTTTGGAAATGGTCACATGAATTCTGCCAGTAGTTATGTGGGGGTAATAAACAAATTTCAACAAGTAAATGAATTCAAAAGTAAAGATTCACAGATTGTTTAGGATCAGCTCTGCGTATCTATTGGTCTATAAAGCTGAAGTTTTAAGCCTATCACTCAAGCTTGCTAAATGTGGCTTGGTTCCCTATTTCAGAGCAAGAAAAGATCACAACAAGGGCCAAATCCTACTGCAATACTGTGTCACACAGAGCAGACTCTGGTTGCAACTACTGCCACATCAGAAAGCCTGTGTACTTTAAGGGCTGCTCTGGAAACAGCAAGCGGAGCACCTCAACTGAAAGATGGTATAACAGGGCCCTGGGAGCAGGCGCAGGGGGAGATGAGGATGAAGTCTACGGCCAAGTGAAGGAAAAAGGAGGGATAGCTCAAAAGTGGAAAATGGCTGAGCAAAGGGACAAAGGAGTCACTGTGCAGAGCTAGACTCAGGACTGTCAAGGAGCACTGAGCTCGGGAGAATGCCTCAGAGCAGGGACAAGTAGTATTGTCAGGTGGTGGAGCACGTCTTCTGCATAATGTCTGGCACATCCTTGAATCTCACATATGTTTTGAAACCTCAAAGAAAAGAGGAAAGTCAATTTGTCTTGTAAGCAAAATCAGACTTTTAAGGTGAAGCAGAATATGTTCTGTCTTTGGTTTACAAAGACTAGTTTTGTGACATCACTCTCATTACAAATGTGGAGAAAAAGAAGAGGCAGTAAACAGTAAAAGTACAGAAGACAAGCAATGAACACCTCAGTGGGAAAGCACTCATTGGTTCTCATGGCAATCAGCAGCCATGAAAGCAATAGTAATGACCAGTGTCTGCACAGTGAACATTGGTAGTTTCCCGTGAGGCCATCTGCATGGTCTTGCTTGGGTCTCCAAATCAGGAACATCTTCTTTTCCACACATCCACACCTGTTTATCAGCAAGTCCTGTCATTTCTTCCTTCTGAGACACCCAGACTCCATGCACATGTCCCTTCCTCACTGTCCTGGCCCTAGTATAAACAAGCAAGATCCCTTGAATGGGCTACTGCAGTGCAATGTCTCCCATCCTCAGCTCTTGGTCTCTCTGCACCCGCCTTGCCTCTTCCCTGTTCTTTAGTGCAAACCAGAGTCAGAATCTGCTGTAAAATTTAAGATATATCACTGCTCTGCTCAGAGCCATCTGAGCAGCATGTATGTGGTGCTAAATCACTAACCAAGTCCTTTCAGTGATCTACCCACCCCAACTCCTATAATCTCCTGAATTTGTAACCTCTACACCCTTTTGTATAAACACATCAGCCTCCTACATTAAGGCATTTCAGTTATGTTAGCTCTTCCTACAACACTACCTCCAAATTTTCTGAGAGCTGGCTCATTTTCTACGTAACACAGGACTCCCACATCACCAGCTTTTTATGAAAATTCTCTCATGTTTGTTCCCGGGACCTGGTCCAGTACTAATGAGTTGTTCCAGGTAACTTGAATGGCTGTGTTCCCATCCAGGCTGCACTTTTGTCTTTTTGCTTCCTGGCTACAAGTGTTGAAGAAGTCTCTATCCCATGCCATCCCAGGAGATTGGACACACTGAGTGCTCCTGTGCCCCTTATCCAGTTTCCTCTACCTACTGATAACAGAAAATTATGATCAATTCTTTTAAACTGGAGCTTTCCAAACAGGAAAATGATAATGAGAAAAAGATATGTAAGTTCAGAGTACGCAGATTTGCGGACCAGGAGCACAAGACTTGAACTCAGGGTTGTAGTACCCTTCAGTCCATTCTCTGATATTACAGTCTGTGTTACCCTGGCAAGTTGCAGCCCTCCCTGGGGATCAGCAACATGTCCATAAGAAGGAACTGTAATTCCAAAAGACGGTATTTTTTTTCATTGTGGAGGTGTAAAGAATCAAAACCTATAATCAAGTAAACAAAGGTTCTTACCTTTCTGGGGTCTTCAAAAATATCCACAGAAGCAAATTTCTGTGAAGATGAAGGGAAAACAGTTTGAGAATGTTTCTTAGCCTTCCATGTATGTCCCAGAGTATCCTGCTTTTCCTCCTGCTTTGTCTTTTGCTGGGCCCAGAGAAAAAGGGCACTACACAGATTTTGATGTGTATGAGGATAGGGTAGCATGCAAGGCAGGGAGGGGCAGGCACCTACAAAGGGGAGTTAGGTTGCAATCAATCTCTGGAGCTCTTGGGAGAACATCATTTGGGGCCTCTACTCATCTTTCATCTAAATGGTCACCCTGGTAACATCATCTCAATTTGTCTCTTGCACAATGTGGAAATGAGTTGACTGTAGTGGTGGAATTGTGGCAGTTTCAATAGTTGATACGTTAAGAGGTGCGATGAAGTGGCCAGAGATGGCATTCCCATCATTCTCCACCTGTTTCCCTCCTTTTCCCTGCTTTGTGATTTCAAGTGTCCTTAGGGCACCGTGGATCTTCAGGCCCCCAAAATTAGAGATTAGTGCCAGTATGGATACATTCCATGGTCAGTTCAACTGACTATACCAAAATTAATACTATAATCTTACAGAAGATTTCTAAACACAAAGAAGTCCAGACTGTTCACTTTCATATGTACAGAGGAGATAAATGTGTTTTAGTGAGAAACCAACAAAGGAGTGTGGAAGTTGGGTGATTAACACATGTAAATTTTTAACAATATCTTAGATCCAGCCAAAGGGAACTAAACCACCAGTTCGTTTTTCAGTTACCTGAAGATTCTGTTACATTCTTAAGTACTTTTTTTTTCAAGTTGCTTTGCAATTTCTCATTTTGCAGTAAGAAACCCTGACACACAAAATCACTGAAACTTTCTTCAGTTCATGCTTTCCTTTATTGCAAGGTTTCACTAGGACTGAAGCTGCCTGCATTAGCTAACAGGTCTGGCCCAGATTTGTGACCAACAACAACTGAAGATGCTTCCATTATTTATGGTAGCCCACCACAAACCAGGGGTGTGTATACTGAGGGCAGTGGAAAGAAGGGAAACATTTCCACAAGAACTTATAAAGATGTCCCAGGATCATAGCTTCTCTGGATTGTTCCAAAGTGAGCAAATATCTTTGCATAAACTGGGTCCTTCGGGTCCATATGTAGATTAACTGAAATACTTTCTTCTTTTAAGATGTTATAAAATAGTGATAATTAAATTTATTGAGTATCTAGATTAATCTACTTCATACAATAAACCCAGATCCAAGTCTCAGAGCCACATTAGAGTCAGTCTATGGATACACTAGCAAAACACAGCTCTGGTGGTTCACCCACAAGGTATAGAAGTGTCTTTAATGATTGAGATCTAAATAGATGATAGATAAGTTCAGATAACTCATGAGACCACAATTGAAACTTCATCACATGGGGAGTGTTTTTATTGGCCCTGGATGTTACTTTCTTTGGATGTTCGTTCTGCTGAGCTTCCTTGTGATGACAGATGGCCATGACCTTCCATCAATGTGCAAATGTCACTTTTCCTGAGAAGCATCACTACTGGTTATTTTGAATGTGTCCCCTCTCAGCACTCCCACTACCTTTAGCCCACTCACTGTATGGTTTGTTTTTCCTTGAATAGTTCTATTTGAAGATAGATATAGTCAATTCATAAACTAATATTTAATAACAGAAAAGGAGAAATGAAATTTCTAGTTGGAATTAGTAGGCTATGCAGTTCTTTTCCACTGAGAGCACCTTTTCATACACTTAGCATGGAGAGATGCATGGGTTGTTCAGTACAAATAAGTTGAATGAATATATGAATATATCAGTGACAAATATCAGATAGGTGACAAATATGCCATTCCTTTTGGAATACTGAATGAAAGAGTGTTATGAATTCTGGTGTTATGAATTCTGCAGAGATACCCCTGAAAAGACTCATGAAGTCATAGATTGAACTTTTTCAGGGATGACTCAATCTAGAATGCATGATTGATTCATGGTGCAATGCTAGGAACACGGGTAGCATTAAGGGTGGGTGATTACAAAACCATTCCACTGATTGACCTGGCATCCTTCCCTAATCCTGGTAACCAGAATAAAAGATAAGAGACTGAAAGAAAGTTGCCTTGCTTTGCTACCTTCTGCCTGCCATGAACTCTGTTTGTCCTTCACAATACTAGTCTGCTATCTTTTCCTGATGTGGAGCTGGCCAACTGTGGACTGAAGCCTCTACAAAATGTGAGCTAAGAAAAAATTTTCTCATTTAACTTTGGGTGTTGTCTAATTTTTTTTCAGCATTCAGAGAAAACTAACTGACATCTGGTAACTCTTTGAGATGCGTAGAGTGTAGATAAAGGAAACATTATAAATGGGGAAATACTTGATTTTTGACACTATACAAATTGCATGGATATAAGAATGCATGGCTTAAAAAGTTGGATACATTGATAATAGATAAATAATAAATAGATTCAACCTCTCCTGATTTACTTGTTTATCAGAAAATATAGGAAACTGGGCCTCTGATGTAAGTAAAAAAAGAAAATTCATTTACATAGCTTATAAATAAGTCAAGGGAAACTGAAACTTTCTGAAATACTTAGTTCTTAGTGTCCTCATTCCCAAAATTCAGTATCGCAGTTCCATGCAGAAATATAGAGCATTCAATTGTTAAAATACTTATGAAAATACAAATGCCAAAATTTTATAGTAGAAAGAGCAACAGATGTTTATGAAAAATGCTCATTAAATTCTTATTGAATATTTTGAACATTTGTGATACTTCATAACAAAATTAAATGAAAAATTAAACTCTCAGTTTGGAGTAGTAGTCTAAGAATGCTGCTGAAAGTGAGAAATTATCCCAGATGGCTTCACCAAAGCAAGAAAAAAGCTGAGGAGACAAAGTTCAGTGTCAATATACAGGTACCATGAGAATAGAGGCACCTACCAAGTTCTGTGTGACCTCCAAGAGTTCATCCTCTGTCTTCTGGCGCAGGCAGTGAACCATGACAGCTGAGGAAGTAGTTTTACACCCAGCAGCACCTGCAATTTTCTGCAAGGATGACAAGCAGCAGCAGAGTTCCAGATCAGTGACACTTCCTTCCACCAATGTACACAAAAGGGTGTTACCACAAACCCAATGTCTAAATGCAGTTAGGGCAGAGCATAATCTACACCAGCAGGGGTGGGATTTGTTTTTGTCCCAGAGTGTGCAGCTTCATTCATTAACAGGGCATCATTCAGTTATATATATGTATGACTATCTGCTGAACTAGCCATAACCAATACCCCAGCACATCACAAGTAAATAATTAAAGAATAAGCGCAGTATTCTAAAAATTGAACTTTATTAAAGAGATTCTTTGCTATGGAGATCAAAAGCTTAAATTCAGGATTATATTGTCTTGTTTCAAATTCTAGCTGCTCTAATTCTTTGCTATTTGATCTCCTGCAAGGCCCTTAACACCTTTGAACCTTTATTTCTCAGGTAAGGTAATTATTTCATTTCTCTTATAAAAAGAGTTAATGCAGGTGAGGTCCTGAATTGTGTATTCTGTCTCCCGCAGAGTAAGGCTTATACAGAATTGCAGGAAATATGGATAACATGATTCACTGGAAGATATTATTAAGTATGAAATATGATCCTTGAAGTCTCTTATAGCTCAGCCATTCTCATTTCAGTGATCCTTGAGCATCTCAGTGATCCTTTGAGATTTCAAAGCAAGAAACACATCTGTGGATTCCAAGAGAGCAGAGAAAATACATTATCTTTCCAGGGTGAGCCCTACCTTAGCCAGAGGCTTGACATCCTTGCTTAACAGACTAGGAGTGAAGACCACACCACTCTCTGAAATGGCCCTGTGGAAGAGGTTCTTGGCCAGGGGAGATAGCACCTGGAAAGGGAGTGGAGAAGAAGTTAATTTTCAAAGGGTGGAGGTCAGTGGCTCACTTATTCTTTAAGGCTCCCTCTATACACTCCTGTGCCCTGGCCATTCACCTTAAGATACTATCTTTGAGTAGCTATGGCTGCTCATCAGATTTCCTTTATTTCCAAGGCTCTCTCTTTGTGCCATTTCCCCAAGAGAATTTTATTTTCTAAATTTTACTTAAAAGAGACAAAAAGATAAGCAAATAGTGTAATAGAGTTTCAAAACAGATTAGCAGGACAGACACAATACTTGATAGATTGTGTACTGCTTATTTCATAGTAGTTATTCAGAGTATGTATAAGATATAGGTATGATATTGTTTCTAAACAATATTAGCACAAAACATTCTCTTTAATGAATTCAAACTGAAGCTAGCTGTGTAACATAACTAACTTGTGTATATATAATTTTTTTTTCTTTTTCTCCACTTGTGTTTCTCCTTTTGTCCATCATCTTTCCGTTTCAATGGTGTCTTCTCAATTCATAATATCTGGTTATGTTTCAGAAATTCTTTACTTATTTAGTTTCTCACACTAATGAGGCATTAAAAGTGTGTTGCTAGGCTCGGGGTTTAGCTCAGTGACATAAGTGCCTGCTTGGCAAAGGCAAGGTCATGAGTTCAATCCCCGGTACCAAAAAAAAAAAAAGAGAAAGTGTGTTGTTTGTGCCCATAACAACAACCAAATTTTAGAAAGACTCTTGTATTTCCAGAAACAAATTCTGTCCCAGAACTTTGATTAGATTTTAGCAAAAATAATCATCATGAAAGAAAAATGGCTGCTGCTTGTGCTAGAGTGTTTCATACATACATACATACATAGATGAACTGTGGAAAATGCTCTCTTAACACATGGCTAAAGGTCCACAGTGACTACTCATGGACAGTGAGAATGTGGATGACTGTTTTGCTTTTTGAGCTTAACAATCTTTCCCCTCTTTCTAAACTGTAAAAAATATGCAACATCTTTTGGATATTCAACTATGAAACCAACACCTTGTGTAAAAATATAGAAATAAGGCTGACCCAGTGCTCAACACTGAGTGCCTGAATGATTACTTCTGATTTACAGCATCCTCTGTAACATTGACCAGTGTCCTCCAATCCCCAATCCCCATATGACTAAAGCATCTCAAGACTCCAGGTTGGATATGCATCACAAAACTCCTATGCCGTCCTTCCTCTACCTCCACCTACTGTCAACTTCCTCCCTCCTTCTGCGCCTCTGTGTTGCCAAGTTCAATTTGACCCACACTCCCAGAGTGTTGTCCTCCCTCTTAGGCACTATCAGTTTATCAAGACACCTTACAAGAAGCCCCTCCCTGCTCTCAGGGCTGAAGTCACATCCTTGATCTTGAAATGCCTAGTTTATCTCCAGCCCTACTTTCCAAGAGAATAAGGTGAGCCTTAATGATTAAAAGCAACATACCACAGCAATATGCATGCATCTACCTCTATGGCAACACAGTTTGTTGTAGCTAAATCTTTGAAACAAAGGCCCATCAATGAATAACAGATAAACAAGATGTGTTTATATAATAGAGTGTTACTCAGTCACTTTGAAGGATAAACTTGAGACATTTCTAGGTAAAGAGATCTTTCAGGCAATACTCCTAAGTGAAATAAATAGGTCACATGTGTAAATATTGCATGATTTCTTTCAAGTGGGAAACTGAAGTATATTATAGGTAATGTGAATTAAGAAGAAATGATTCAAAAGAAAGGAAACCAGGAAAGGAGAGGTGAAAGGAAGGAAGAGAAAAGATGAAATGATAAAAGGATAAAATATAAACAAAGCTTTGTGTAAGGAGAGTAAGAGGGGAGAGGATTGGGGAAAAAAAGAAGAAACAAGATCTATCATATAGAGGTGAAAATTCACTAGGATGAATACTACCATAATATTTATCCAACTGTACCAGTAGCCTCATTAAAAAGAAAGACCAGTGGAAATTCAGTCAAGTTGAAAGAAGAGTAATATCATGATTGCACACTGAAGGTGGAGATTCTGTCAGCCTAAGGAAATTCATATGAACAGCAGGATAAGGAGTTTTGCCTTGGTTGTTCACAAGCTGATATAGGTGCTGAGTAAACTGTGGCTAGGTCTTGTGAAATCTAGGTCTTGTGAAAAGAGACACACATGACCAGATTGGCTACTCTTCAAGAAGGTTCATCAGCAATATGAAATATAAGGAGACTTACAAGAACAGAGACACATTCACCTCCTGCTGACTCTCCAAAGATGGTCACAGAGTCTGGGTTCCCTCCAAAGTTGGCGATGTTGTCCTGCACCCAGCGCAGTGCAGCCACCTGGTCCAAGTGACCCCAATTCCCTAAGCTGTGTTCATCTCCTGTGCTGTAAGAGACAAAGAAGGGGGAAGAATCAGAACTATCACAGTGATGCTCTTTGGACTGAAATGTCTAGAGGCTCTCACTTAGTCATCTAGAATGAGGGCTGCGCTCTGTGTGCCTGACAAGCATGCCTTTCTCTGCACTGAGTCCAACAGCAGTGTTCTATAGGGGTGATTTGTACTCGTATTTCTAGTTACTGTAAACTGGCCATCTACAGTGTATCCAGGGAAGATCTAAGAGCTAGACTGCATCTTAGGCAATAAGCTCTGAGCATAGTCAACTTGTATTGCAGACTTCAAACAATTGAAAAGTGAATATACTTTCAACTATTCAAAGTGACATGAGGAAAATAAAATCAGGTAAAGAAAGGAGCAGATGTGGGACAGTGCTGTATTTCAGATCTCATGACTACTGAAAGTTTCACTGTCACATTAGCATTTGGTGGAGATATGAATAAAATAAGCACATGGGTCTTTTGTTAGGGTATGAGCAAAAAAGTAAGTGAGAAATAATCAGCTAAACATATTTTAAAGATGGGGCCACACATATTTGCTGTCTCAGTGAATGTAGTGAAAGAAAAAAAAAGTAAAGAAAAAGGATGTTTCCTACCTGCCAGATCTTTACGCTGAGGAGCAGGAAGGAAAGAGCTGCTAGTGGCTGCACTGCAGGTCTTTAGGAAAGAGAGGAAGAGTCACTGTTGGGTGAGAGGTAGTGGACATTGCAGTATGTAGATGGCAAATGAGAGGCATCTTATAAACATATATGGGATTGGGGAAAGATATCTAAAGATGCAACCTGGTAGTAAAAGACAGGTGCACTCTACAAACAAGGAGGGGCAGAAGTGCTCAGGGATTAGTGGAAAAGGAGAGGGAGACACAAGACGATGAGGATGGGGCAGGAGTTGCAAAGTGACCTAGAAGTTTGTGTAGCAAAGATGCCAGGAGGTTGTACATTGTCAGGAGGAAGATCTTTAGAGTCTATCTGTTTGATAGTGCTGAGATTAGCTAGGTGTGGGAGGTCCTGAGTCACAATTGGCCCCTGAGAGAGGAGCATGGGGGGTGTGTGGTTGAAAGACTGTCTCAGCAAGCATTGTATGCACTCCCTCCTGAGACTGCTTCTTCCTACTTCCATAGAAGATGAACAGAACTGCATTGCTCAGCTGAGTGCTCACTCCCATCAAAGAAAGAGAACTGCGAAGAAAAGGTTCCTTTCATAACTTTGGTAGAAGCTGGGATACACCACAGGTAAAAAGAAAATGAATATTTCAGAGGCAATAACATAAAGGCAAGGATTTACATCATGAATAGGAATTTGGCAAGCAGATCCAGAATTTCAGGCAGAAGCAAGCAACCCATGCAAAATCTCAGAACCAAATGGACAGGTGTGATTGATCAATTAAAAGTTCACTGGGATCCAGTACACAATAACTGGATGCATTATTAAGAACCTTAAGAGTGAATGTTTGAGAGATGGTATACCTACAGCTGGGATTGAATGTCTTTTCTGGGGCAGCTATTATGGTTTGCTTTGCATGTAATTTCCCCAGCCAATCCAAGGATTCCTGTGCTGAAGCCTTGAATGCTAATGCATTAGTAGCACTGGGGTTGTGGCCCTCAGAAGAGTATAATATAGATCCCATGAGATGCAGCTTACTTTCAAAGACAATGAGTCACTTAAAAACAGCAGGCCTGCCCCTGAGTGTTCACCTTGGCTGCTTGTCTTCTTTTGTGACATATTCTTATCTGCTCCTGTGTCATATTCTCTGGTGTCACAATAGTGCTGTCACCAAAAACTAATTAAATGAAACCCCTAAAGTTGGAAGCTGTCATGGTTTATTTTGGTGACCCCCAGGCCTTATGTGCTTGCATTGTGTATTTGTGATTGGTTCATTGTGTAGCTTGGATTGATGGTGTCAATGCTGCACTTACCTAGAGGTGGAGCTAGCATACAATGTAATGGTAGAAAGAAAGTGTGTGTCTCTGTCTTATTGATTTCTACCTTGCTGTTTGCAGCTGCCATGAACTGCGGCCTCTCCATGCTACCCTGCCTTGGAGCCAACTGAGTAAGGACTGAAACCTTCAAAAAATTGTAAGCAATAAACCTATCCTTTCCCAACTTTGGACATCAGGTACTTTGTCTTAGCTATGAGTAAAAAGTAATGAAGACAGAATTTGGTATCTAGAGTGGGATCATTTGCTGTGACTATACCTGACCATGTTTTTTGAGAGGCTTTGGAAATGGCTTGTGGGCAGAGTTTGGAAAGATTCAGACATGTCACCTGGATGCAGAGCTGGAGCAGCTTAAGCTGTTCTGTAGAGGAGATTCTGGTCAGAGATCAGGAGAACAGAAGGTTGGTAGAAAGCCTGATGGTAAAAACCAGGCTTGGGAGGTTTTGCTGGGAAGGACTGCATTGGTTGTTGGGCTCCCCACGATGTGTGTATGGCTTACCAGAAAGTTTGTCTGCATTTTGCTGATGCCCAGAGACTTTGCCCAAGACTGAGATTAAGGGCAATGGACTGATTAACCTGGCAAAGAAAATTTCAAGGTAGTGGAATGTTGAGGCTGTGGCATGGCTATTGATGAGGGCTTTTTAGCCAGATATATATTGCACATCAAGAGCTTAGCCCAGCAGGATAATTTAAAATGCTATGAGTTTAGCCAGGAGGAAAACTCCAGTAAAGCTGTGGGTTGTAAAGATAGAACTGAGACTTTGATGGCTGAGAAGAAACAGAGAGTTAAGAATGATGGCCACGGGGCATCCCACAGGGCTTTATCCTTTGCAGCCTCAAACCTTCAAAAGTGGACTGAGACCTGGGACCCCGAGAAGCAGCCAGGACTGCCCCACTGCACCAGAGGAGATTTTGAAAGGCTCTGGAGTTCCAAAGCCCAACGCTGTGCAGTTTTCTGACCATTCCATGCTGTGCCGAGAGCGCAGGGAGGGCGAGCGGCGTGGTGTGCAGTAGACCCAAGAGGAGAACCTGCACTGAACCCTGGTGAGTACTGGGGACCCCGCGGCTGCTGGGGTTGGCCAGAGAACATCTTGGAACTGGGCAGTGCCCACCACCACGGGAACATCAATAACACAGAGAGTCTGGTGGCAGACATCTTAAAGTTGGGCAGAACCTACAGCTCGGTGACATCACTGAGTCCCCCTGTAGGGAGGTCTGGTGGAAGACATCTTGAAATTGGGCAGAGCCTGATGCCGTGCTGGCTTCAGCGTCATACAGAGAACTAGTGGAAGACATCTTGGATTTGGGCAGACCTGCTGTCCTGGTGCTCCTGTCACAGAGAGGTCTGGAAGAGAACAGCTGGGATTTGGGCAGAAACCTGTGCCATAGTGACATTAGTCAGCTGCTTCTGGTACAGAGAGAACTGGCAAGAGCTACTGGGGCTAAACCAAGCCTCTGCTTGGGGCCCAATAAGCAGATACAAAATAGTCACAACTCAGTGACATCCAGAAAGTACAGCCTAATTTACGGATTGACTGGCACAGAGGCTGGAGGCTAGCCTGTACCACCCCTGCATCCCAGCCTACCCCAGATAACAGCAAATTGGGGAGGATGGCAAAACTCAAGTCAGCACGCTTCTGAAAGGCCCTAAGCAATACAGAGAGGGCCAGGGACCCCCAGGGCACTCCAGTCTGAAAGAAACCAGAAACATGACAAGAGATAAAAATAAAAAAAATCTCCAGCTGCCCAACATGAGAAAATAAGCCCAGGAAAAGTAAACATTGAAGAGAACAAGCACAGTAACCATCCAATACTCGACACAGCATCAGCCGAAATTAAAAAATACCTTCATGACCTCATAGATGAATTTAAAGCTGTACTCCTGATCCAAGTGAGGCAAGATATAAAGAGATTAATTAAAGAAATGACAAGCCCCACCCAAGAGAACACAGATGGAAGAACTGAGGAAATCAGAAAAGAAAGAGAAACTTCTGAAGAAGAATATAAACATAACTTAGAATACATGAAACAGGTCCAAAGAGATTACCTGGAAACTAAAAACTCCATTGAACACTGGAAAAATGCCTTGACAGAAACTAAAGACCACCTTCTGAAACTTGAAGAGAGATTTATGGCATATGATCGTAAAAGAAAAAGCCTCTTAAAAATAACAAGGAACCAGAAAGAAACAATTCAAAAACTAGAAGATGACAAAAAGATATATAACTTAAGAATAAAGAATGTGAGTGTGGAAGCAGGAGCAACCAAAAATGAAATACAAAGAATATTCACAGATACATTAAAGCAAAATTTCCCATGTATAGCAAAAAGAAATGATATCCAGATAAAAGACGCGTACAGAACACCAGCTACCTACAACCAAAACAGATCTACGCCTAGACATATAATAATCAAGATTCCAGAAATCCACCAAAAGAGCAGAATATTAAAAGCAGCCAGAGAAAAGATGCAGATTACCTACAACAGGAAAATTATCAAAATAACAACAGACTTATCAACACAAACTCTTAAGTCAATAAGGGAGTGGGGAGAAATATTCCAAGTCCTGAAAGAAAATAATATGCAACCAAAGCTCATATACCCATCAAAACTCTCTCTCAAAATTAATGGAGAAATAAGATGCTTCCAAGACAAGGAGGAACTGTGGGAGTTTGTGGCCTCCAATCCAACCCTACAGAGAATGCTGAAGGACATTACAGAGAAAGAGAGGAAGGGATACCAGGATTCCAGCAACAGTGGCAAACAGGCCTCAATGAATGGGGCAGACAATGGAATGAGGGAATAAGGTGGACAAATTATAGCAGAAAAGTGGAGTAGCAGACATGAGGCAGAGATGGTAAGCTATAGTCTTTAGTATAGACAGCTCTGAAACACTATAAAAAAAGGCAGAGGTCATTGTTAATGGTTTTAAACCATTGTTAAAGGATTTAAAAGACACAGTAGTCTTATCACCATATTTAGTTTGAATTTAATTTGTTCTGGTCTTTCCACTCATGTCAGATTTGAGGGCACAGACATCTTGACCCAAAAATAGCAGTTATACCATGGTAACTATCCTTACTTTCCTATTAAACTGAAATCCTGTATTACTTACATTGTCTTACTATGACTGATTTTAATTGAATCTGAATCATAAGACTATGGGTTGGCCTTGGTTGATTTTACTTGAATTTGGTATGCTTGTTAGTATCAACCCTAAAAGTAGAGGCAACTACTCTGAAGATGACAAGATGTAAAGGATATCCATACTGGTATTAGCTATTAACAGCTCTCAAATCCTACAATGCTCTCAAAGTTAAGTTTTTATAAAAATAGGTAATACTATGTTTAACTATAATAAGCCGGTGTTGTGGACAAATCTATTGAAAATAACAAGAGAAAACATAATAACTATGGAAGATCATCTATATTGTGGTCTTATAGGTGTTATCCATTGCATGTTTTTCTAGGAAATTGTTTTGCTGTCTTGCTACAACTTGGTTTTCCCTATAATACAGAGAGGATAGATATATATGTAGAAATTCACACATGAGTTGTTTTTTTTTAAAAATTATTTACGGGAACAGATTATATAATGCAAGATGTAATGAACAGATACTCTGAGGAAGAGACGCTAAGAAACCCGAGGCTAATTTTGTAGCATTATGATATAAATTCTAGCAATAGTATTGTTCGCTGATTAGAATGACATTGGACTGGTTTCTTGAGTTCAATTTCAGCATATGTAGAGATGGGGACAGCTATCACAAAGAGAATGAGAGATGCGATGGTGGTTATTATTGTCTTCCCTAACGTTAGATCTTGAAGACCTAAAAAGCTTTCATCATCCTGTAATGATTTGATTAGTTCTATAATATGCAATAAGTATATAAATTGGGTGAAGATGGGGACAACTATTTGTAAGAAACTGGAGACAGTTAGATAGACAGTGAAGATCTCCAGTGGACTTGCTTTGAAATCTGTATTTCTTTAAATTGTTTTTTTAACTGTTTTGTTCTGTTTTGATATGTTTAATCTTACCCTCTTTGAGATGTAAAACAAATGTGTAGGACTGATAACCATATTACTGAGCTTTTGTTCTATCATTGAGCAGAACTGTTTGTAGTGTCACTTTTTGAATGTCATTCTAAATACTTTAATTCTGTAACCTGAGCAGCTGTTTCTAAGATGACAATATGTAACTTAGCAACCAGCAATTTCTTACCGTTTGTTTTTCTGTAATTTTGCATTATTTCTACCCTTTATAAAAAATCTCCATGTATTTTTTTGTTTCCTTTTCTTTAACTAAAAAAAAAAAAAAAAAAAAACTTCAAAAGTGAAAAAATTTTCTCAGAGGGAAAAGTTACAGAGCACCATGCTACAAAATGGCAACAGAGGCCACACAAGCTCCAGAATGGTGACAGCCACATGAGGTTCCAAAATGGCAGCAACATAGAGAAGCTTTTCCTCACAATCAGGTAAACAGAGCCCAGTGATCCAAGCACTGGACCCCTACAGTCAAGAGATAAAAAAGCCTGGCTACTGCTCCAGCTGGCAGCAAACCGTGGTGGCATCCACATGGTGTTGATTTTAAGTGCAAGGAAAACACACAAATTCTGAGGGTAAGATGGCTTCTACCTTGACTGCAAAGGGTCTAGGAGGTTAAGCAGTATGACCCTGAGAGGACAATTTGTAAAAATGTAAGGGTAAAGCCAAAGTTGCAGTGGAGACCCCAGAAGTTTGGAAAAGCCAGGAACATGGATCATCCAAGGAAAGCTGCAAAAAGTGAGCAGAGAGGGTTTCAGAGAGAAGCTGCAGGACCTGAAATCCCTGGAAGTGCAACGGGGTGGAATCACCCAAGCCTTTTGGAGCTTGCAACCAGATTGCTTTAGATGCAGAGCATGAAGCTATAGGACTTAATGTTTGCCCTGCTTGGTATTTAACTTACATTGTTTCCAATGCTTCATACTCCCCTGTTTGTAACTTTTGGAATGGTAATGTTTGTCTTGTGCCTTTTCATTCAGAAATGTTTAACCTTGTTTCACTTGTACAGGGAGTTGCAGTTAAGAGTTTGTCATAGATCTTGGAGGAGACTTGGGACTTGGATATTTCAGCAATGCTGAAACTATTAGGACTTTGGCAACTCTTAGAGATGGACTAAATGTCTTTTGTATAAAGAGTGTGTATGAGTCCTGGGCGCCAGGGGTGGAATGTCATGGTTTATATTGGTGACCCCCAAGCCTCATGAATTTGGATTGTATTGTGCATTTGTGATTGGCTCATTGTCTAGTGCTTGGATTGATGGTGTCAGTGCTACACCTAACTAGGGGTGGAGCCAGCATACAACGTAATGGCAAGAAGAAGGTGTGTCTCTCTCTTGCTTGGTTTCTGCCTTGCTGTTTGCAGCTGCCATAAACTGGGGCCTTGCCATGCCACCCTGCCTTGGAGCCAACTGAGTATGGGCTGAAACCTCCAAAAACTATAAGAAATAAACTTTTCCTTCCCCAAATTTGGGCATCAGGTATTTTGTCCTAGCGACGAGTAAAAAGAAACTAAGACAGAAGGAAATAAATTTCTTTCTTTAAGGTAATCATCTAATGTCCGGTACTTCGTGCTGTGAAAAGAAAACACACCAACACGGAAGCTCATGTGTGAAAAGAAGAGTCCAGTATCTTACCTGAAGAATCCCCAGATTCCCAGACGGTACTGAATAGTCACCACCACCACATTCTCACTAGCAGAGAGGGCCAGTCCATCATAGGGTGATGCCCCACCAAATATCAGACCACCACCATGGATCCACACCATCACCTGGACAAAGACACATCCACACTGCTTACAGAGGCAGAATTGGGAAGGAACTCAGACAATGTCTGCTTTTAATCTTTTGTGCCATCCTGACTTAAGAAGTCCATTATTGTCCAAAGTTCACAGAACACAGGAAGTTTTCAAATGAAAGCCTTTCTGCTCTTCAACTTTCTCATGTGAGTCCTCGGATATCATCCCCTCAGTGTGTCCTGGTATCCATTCCTTTTCCCCCAGACTTTATTTTTTGTTTCTTCCCAAGTTTTCCCAAACAGAGCATATCACCATGGGATCTTAGAAGGCTATGAATGTCAGGTTCTCCCCAACACACATTATCCTCATGCCCGGTTATTCATCCAGATGAACATCATGGGCAGAACTTGTGAGTCAGCTTCACCATAGTTTTGTTTCTATTTGGGAAACTGAATTTGTGAGTGGGAATGGTTTCTCAAGTTGCATAGATTCCCTAAATGGTGACCTTTCATTCTATGCCTTCCCTCTGCCTCTTCTACAACTAAATTTTCCCATTTTTCTGAGCCCACATGACATCTACCACCTCCTGAAGTTTTCTGTGATATAATTAGCATTATCTGAGAGCCTCCTGTGTGCAAGGGACTGTGATCAGGATGTAAAATAAGAAGGATGCCGCAGTTATTGTAATCTAGTTGCTTAATTTCAAGAGTTCACATTTAAGGAAGGCCTGAGAGAGCATAAAATAATATTGCTAGTGTAGTTATCTTTCTAATGAAATATAAAACCACTAATATAAATACTTATATACCTATTCTAAATACTTTAAAGTAACTCATTCATGAGGGAAACACTAATTTCTTCCCACACACTAGAGAAGAAAACTGAGACATGTTAGAACCAAATTGATGAATGCTATTGGTCATGATGCCACAGCTAATAAGTGGTAGCAACTGAACTTCACCATGCAATATGGCCCCAGAATTCAGTTGTTGAGGTGCCCATTGACAGCAGCCCATGGCCACAAATAGAAATTCAATTTTTACTTGCATTCATCAGTGCTTATTTATGGACATGCTCAGATTTCCAACAAGACTAGACTGTCATAATTGAATGCATATAGGTGTTACTGTATTTCAAGAAAAAAGATTTAGAGAAATTAAGAAGCTGCTCAACTCTATATATGAATCAAACGAATGCACTATACTCGAACTTATATTCAAAGCTGGAGGGTCTCGTGATTTCTTTCTCCTGAAGCCTCTGTTTCTTGTTGATCTCTGATTTCAGAGGTCAGCCTCATCAAGGCAGAGGTGACTTGTCATCAGTGAGGGGAGGCTGATCCCTAGAGCTGATCAACAATGGTATGCTGAGAAGTTAGCAGGTAGATATGAAGCCAAGATAGCAAGACTGCCCAAGACAGGACCTACCTGGTTATTATTTGTATTGATTCAACTTTCTGGTTTTGCTACTCTACAAGTAAAACTGAGTACAAAAGAGAAAACTAAATGAATGAATGAGAAAAAATTTCCCTCCAATTTCCTATGCTTTACAAAGAATATACAGAATCAACTTACATCACAAAGCTCACAAGCATCTATAAATTCCTGGGATGCTAAGAAGATATTTTTAGAGAAATGTCCATTATGCTTTCCTCACATAGCAGTCTGCACATGCAGCCTGCCTCGTCTTTGACCCTTTTTGGTGGTGGAGGAAGTGCTAACTCACTGGACATCAAGCAGTGCCAAAGGAAATTAGAGAGCTAGGACAAAAATGTCAAATGGTTTGGCCCAAAACAAGAAAGTTTCTCTGAGACTGTGCTAGTGCTGCTTACCTACACCCTGTGCTGCAAAATAGTGAAAGTTCTCACTATACTTTCAGCATAGTGAAAGGTCTCGTAGGTGATGTGTGTAGAAACCCAGCCCATGTAATTCATTTCCTAGCCCATGCCAGAGAGCACTGGTATGAAAATCAGAAGATTCAAGGCCTTATTTTGCCTTCCTTACCATGTGACTGCTTTTCCTGTCTCAGTTTTCTTATATGTAAACAAATTTGTGTTTGTTCAATTTTCTCAAAGGTTCTTTTCAACTCTTGCTTCTTAGACAATTGAAGCTTGTCAGGATGAGACCAGATGCTTAATCTAGTAATGAAATGTAACCTTTTTTGTCTTTTTCTTATTGTGAGAAACTTGGAAATCTAAGGTAATACATTCCGGATAGTAATTCTCCCCCAGAGGCCTCAGACAATTTAGAGAACCAAGAAAGTGAAATTTGTATTTCCTGTGATGAACTTCTGCGCCCTGGAATCTGTCCTGGCTCATGCTGCTTCTGCTCCAGATGCCTTCATCACCATCCGATAGCTAGTGGACAATCCAGATACTGGAACTCATCAGTCTTACCCAGAGGTCCCCAGTCTTACCGGCAGCCTACTTTTTTTTGTTGAGTCAACAGGAGCATAAATATTCAGATACAGACAGTCTTCAGACACTGTGACAACAATATTCTTTCTGGTGTTCACAAGGTCTGATTCCATTTGTGCTAGTGATAAAACTTGAGAACACCTGATAGAGAAGAAGTATGAACACAAATTTCAACCAAATAAAAACTCCAAGTGTCACCTGCATCCTGACATTGTTCTAAGGACACTGAAACTTATGAATGGAAATTCTATCACTTGGAATAGAGGAATTACATTGAGTAGAGGACTTTCTAGAAGCCTTCATGGGAACCCTGGATTTGCAGAAATTTCTCAGTCCATATAGAGAATGAAGTAGTAATATCCTTTCAGAGCCCTAGAGAATCTCTCATTCTGGGAAATAAACCTGCCCATGCACTTACTGGCCCTGAGAAATCACATTTCCTGCATTCCTAGGACAGCTCCCCTCTCTGCTGAATTACCAAGTAATTACGAGATTCCAACCAAGTAACCAAGTTCTAGTTCTTGGTAGATTTCCACAGTCTAGCATAATTTTCCCAAGTGTCAGATACTTTAGCCAGCATTTATGAAGACAATCTCTGGAGAAATGCATTTCATTCTTGCCTCAGGTCATCTGATGACCTTGCATGAATTTCTCTGTCCTTTGGGCTCCAATCCTCCAGAGCCAAGTGAAGTGATTGTCTAAGAGTCTCAAATATCCAGCACAGTAAAATTCATCAACATGTCTGCTTCCCTAATAAGAGGTATCTAATATTCAGCATAGGTTCAAATGGGTAACCTATATTGAATTATTCCTGTGTGCCAGCCTCTGATTTAAATTGGCATGACGTAACTCATTTAAGCCTCAGATCATCCCCAGGCATGAATTCTATTATTATCATCATTTTACAGATAAGAAAGGAACAGAGTTTAGAGAACAGGTCAAGGCCACAAGATCAGGGAGATTTGTGTTATTTTCTACACTTATCTTCACATGCGTTATATGAAACATTCTAACATCTTGATAGAGTCAGCACAAAGCCTTTGTCTGAGGTGCTCAGGGGATGGTTGTGGATCCAACCAGACATGATAGAATTTTTTTTCTCATGTAACCAAGGTGACTGGAGCATGGCAATCTAGAAACATCTGGGAGCGAGAAGTTGCAAATTAAACCCAAAGAATGCCCTATACCCACATGCTTCCTTCATCCTTACCTCTTGCAGACATGCAAAGGTTTAAGATAAGAAAATAGAAGTCATTGTTCCTGGTCCTCTCCCCACTACTTATTTCCTGAGCTCTTCATGTAATCTAATAGTGTATCTAAATCTTTTATTAACTTGTATATTACTTATTAACTCTCTCTAACTGCTACATGCAAACTCCATGAAAGTGAAGGGACTTCTGTGTCATTCACTAATATTCTTCAGAATCTACATCATGTTTGGAATACAACAAGTGTTAATGATTACTTGTTAATGATTAAGAGTACTATACTGTGGTGAAATTAACTTTTAACAGTGTTCTAGAGGATTCTAGGGCAAAATTTAAGCCAATCATTGGATGCTCTGCCTTCCTGCAACTCTCTAAGACAAACATACCCCACCAAAGAGGCCAAACCCAAGCCCACTGACTTACATAGGAGTGTGGGATGTGGTATTCTTCACATAGTTCCAAGGCTCTGGAGGCTGTGGAGGAGCAAACCTCAGGGATCCAAGAGGAGGCTTGGCAAAAGGGATTCCCAGGAACTGAGCCACAGGCTGTGCAAATCCTTCCACGCTTTCATACATCCCCAGAACTTTGCCATACTTGGTGTCCACCACAGGTGGTGATGAAAGTTTCTCAGCTGGGCACAGAGAGGAAAAGTGGGCACATCAAAAAGTTGAGGTTAGCACTTGATTCTAGTTGGGTTTTTCCAGCTTCTAGTCATACAAGCTTGAATAATTCACCCAAACTCACCAGGACTCAGTTTCTTCTCAAGTAAAATGAGGATAAGGAAAAGTGCCTTTCCTGACTCAAAAGGCTGCACAGAGGAGGAAATTGGAACAGATAATAGGAAAACACTCAGGCATCAGTCTCTGTACAATGGAGAGCTACTGGGAATAAATAGAACATTGTTTTTGCCTTGTATCTATTTTAATTCTGATGCTGCACTGCATGCTGAGGAGAGGATGCACAAGAGATGGTCTCTTTTTTTGAAAAGGCTCAACTTGGGGGCACTGTTTAGACAAACTAAACAGTGGACAGAAAGACTGGATCCTTGCAGAACAATCAGAAATTTGCTATAGGAGTTGAAATAAAGAGTAAAGCATTCTTTGCTACTGAGAACCTGGGATTTATAGCCAAGAATTAGTGAATAACACAATATAGAATGAGAATGTACAAAAGATGGTGGTAAAAATGTGCAGATCCTCACAGTCAGCAACATACAGGGCCTGGCTGGGAAGCAGTAAGAAGTACATGAATATCCCTGGATGAAGTCCATGGTGAGTGGAAGATAATCCTGGAATGAGCAGATGTGTGTCAGGAAAAGTCTTGAAAGACAGGTGAAAGACCTGAGTTTTACCTGGTGGACAACTGAGCAGCAGGAACAGTTCTAAACTAGGGATACAATAAACTTGTACATTCTTCCTCTGGTGTCCTGAGCAGGTCTTACTACAGGAGAGAGAAATGGGACATTTTTCTAAGGGAAAAATCTCTTGCTTATGCTTTTTGTCCTTGTATCTAAGGATTACCAATCATATCAAAATGTGCTTTCTGTGAAGCAAATACATTGAGATGTCCATGGGTGGTGGCTTTTCAGGGTTCTTTATTTCTTTTGCTACCCAATTTTCTGTATCACACATAGATCCTCTTTAATAATTAGGAGAAAAATATTAGGAAGAAAGGGGAGGTGTGCACAAGGAATTGTGAAGGAGGATTTGGTTCTTGACAGGGTGTGGATTCCTCAAAGAAAATGACAGAGAAAGAAGAGCAGGTTTATGATGCTAGATCTATATGTTATATAAGCTTAAAAACAGACTCAGTGAGAATCTTGCTAAGAAGATGCTATGGAATAAGAATATCCTAAGATGGTAAAGGAGGTAGGTGAGGGGCAGGTACAGTAATCCAGCTGAAGGTGAGTGACTTCTTGAAGTCCTTTGAGAGAGAAGAGAATGATCTGAGAAGAAAGCCCAGAGATAACTACTGCAGTTTTCCCTGAGAGTACCTATCAGCATGGTGTGAGAAAGTTACAGTGTTAGGACAGTCAAGGCCAAAGAGGAGGGTGGGCTGGCAGCAGTGAAGAGTGCTTCAAAGAGGTGAAGGAAGTTATGGTAGGAATGTCTAGGTGTAGTCTGTGTCAGCTCAGTGATAACTCTGCAGCTACACGAAGTGGGCTGAAGGCAGGTGGCACAGGGTGAAAATGTGGATGCCTTCAATGATTTAAAGGAGAATGAAAACAAAAGTTGACACTTTGTGACAGAGATATACTCTCATTCCTTAAATAAGAATCCCTTTGTTGATTCTCAAACAAAACTTTGCCAAGTTAGCATGGTTATGGTCATGTTACAGATGAGGGACAGTATAAAATTGAACGCAGGCCAAAAATGGAAATGAAAGGCAGGGGAATCAGCAGTGCAGAACAGTTTTGTTTCAACTGTAGATCTTTTCTCTGCTGTTTTATCCATTCCAGCTCTCTCACAGTGTTACATAGCCAGAGAAAAACATACAATTCTACTGATGACAGGGAGCTCAGAAGGCCACTATTTGAATGTTGTCCTATTTCAGGAGCCTGTGAGACGAGGCATGATTTTGCACATTATCTCTGGAGAGTACATGGCCCTCTGAGTTTCAATTTCTGTGTTAATCAAATGGTACAAATGTAGCTAAAGCCCCTTATTATAGACCAGCCTTAACCAAGAATATATTTTCTGTTCCTGTCTCTTTTATTTAAGCTATCCATCATCTAATCACTCAGATGCTGCAGACCTGATCACTGCATGGTAAAGGACCATCCAAAGGGCTGCAAATTTATGTCTGTTTTACCATTCTATAAATCCTGGATGTAGGTACTATGCACAACCTTACATTAGAGATGAATGGGAAAAAATGGATGAGCCATGCACAATGAAGTTAACTATCTTTTTTAAGGACCCAGAACTCATAAAATCTAAGGCTCTTGAAATGAGACAATCATATTTGGACTAAGAATGAAAATTGAGCTCTTTGAATCCGTATCTGTGAGACATGAGGTTAGTTCACTGCACTTCTGCAATGCTTGTGTGCCCTAGAAATTTATAGTGTTTTTCCTCCCTGTATCTTACTATGTACAGAACAAACTGCCTGGCCTGCATGCTTCAAGTCTATGGCCAGATTGAGGGCTCCTTAAGAAAACTACGTCTTTTCCTCATGACATCCACACACATCTGCTCAAAACTTGTGCTCCCTGATCTCAGTATTTTCAAAGTACTCACCCAATGCCATGCAAGTAACAAGAGATGCCAAAAACAGTCCATGGAGTCTCATCATGGGAAGACAACAGGTTGGGAGCCAAGGAGCTCTCTGTCCTGATTCATGGAAATGCACTTGTCCTTGAACAGTACTGGATATGATCCTGTGAATTCCACACAGCCAGGCTATTTGTAGAATCCAAAACAATAAAAAATAATCTTCCTTTTTAAAGCTTTCCCTAGGCTTTCCTTGAGACTCTGATGCTCCACCCATCTGGAATTTGCCCTGTTTTATCTGAACAGTTACCCATAAAAGTTAGCTAATCTTTTATTTGAACACTCTGGATTCTACACTTAGGTAACAAAATACCACAATCTAGTCCAGCAACTTCTTGCATAACAGGTTCCTCCTAGTATGACTCACATCTCAGTGCACTGTGAGCCTCTCAAAATGTGCACCATCAGAAAAAAGTAGGCATCAGTGGAAGATGACTTAAGGTAAAGTGAAACTCAGGGGTCCCCAGCATAACTTGAAAATTCTTAGAGCATTTCATAGTCCTAGAGATACGCATTTGGAAATTAGAATATATCTCAACTTCACTGATCATCTTTGAAAAAAAATCTTAAATTTATCTAGTGCCCTTTCCAAAGCATGAGTTAGCTTTCCAATATCTTTGCTCAGTGTTCTAGACTTGTATCTCATTCTTGGCATCTGATCACACATTCATTGATTTATTTATTATTTTTTAAGAGTTTACAGAGTGGTATTGTGTATATCTATATGACTTTAATATTTGGTCCTTCCTCTCAAGGAGTTCTCCAAACAAGAATAGGAGTGAGGCGAGGACACATCTCAAGGTGAGAGCACCAAGTAATGGGCATGAAGAATATTCTGGATGCAACTGGGAAAGTCTTTTTTATAAACTTCCAAAACACAAAGAAGGCGCCCAAATTCTCACTCATATAATCATCAAATGCCCTGTGATGAGAATTTTAAACGTACTTCTGTATGGCTGGCTAAGTAAACATTATGCATTCACTTAAAGTTGTTAGGTAGATAAAAAGACCTTCATGATCTACTTTGAAATGGAAAACACATTTTAAAAACTTTTATGGCTACTTGGAGAAACAGATTATCATTATAAAAGTGCTCCCATGTGAAGTAACTCTTTCATTCCTAGATGTATAAGATTCCATGTATACAAAAATTTCAGAATATAAAAGCAATATATTGACCAAAATAACTGTGCCTGCTAGGAGCTGCAAACAGAGCTATGGGTAAAGGCCACGAGACTTTACCCACTTGTACCACTATTTTTGGGTACAAAGTTTCTTTCTGGAGTGATAAAAATGGTCTAGGTTTAGATAGTGGTGATATCAAAGATCTTTTTGAATATACTATGAAAACCTGAATGTTAAATTTTAAAATGTAAATCTTTTTATATGGGGATAACAAAATATTTATAAAAATACTAAATGACTTATAATTGAAGTATTTTTAAATCAGTCTGTATATGATCCCATTTTAGCAATAAAATAATTCTTGCTGTAGTAAGAACAAGAGCTGAGGGCTGGACCAAACCTGTGCAATCCTGCAGCCCATATCATGCCACAACCATTCTGCTTCAGAGTCAACTCCTTTTGACAGACTAACATGGTGAGGGTGCCGAGTACACTTGATTGACTTGTTAAAAATATGTTGTTGCCTTCCTCCTTTGATATCCTTCCAATTTCACTCCTGAAAGCATCTCCTCCTTCCTGAGGATGCCTCCTGAACTCCCAAGGCATGCAGGAAATATGAGTGCCTGTCATTACCTGGTGCTATTCAGAGGAGCACGGCTGGTTAGAAAAGGAACATAAGGCCCTAGGGAGAAGCAGTGGCTTGTTGGCAGAAGCACTTACACACCACTCAAATTTCATATTCTCCCTCCTACATTGTAGACTTATTTCTGTGAAGAGATAGCTAGGAATCTATCTAGAGTCATGAGGTTAATTATTGATTGTTGCCAATAGAGGGGCCACCTATGTCAGTTATCTCAAGATCAGGACAGTGAGGAGATAGCTGTGCCTTTTCCTGAAATATAGGCAAAGATTATGAGACTCTTAAAGGATAAAAAATTTATGAGGAAGCAGGAGTCTGAATCCCTCATCAGTACTTGGCCATGAGATGTTCTCTGAACTACAACAGGAATTTGAATAGTAACAAAGCAATTAATTAGTTATTATGATCCTTGAGCTATAAAACAGCTTGCATAGCCAACCCTGAAAATACAAAAGAATTGCAAAAATGCAGTCAACAGGAATTTGAACATTAACTGAGCAATAAATTAAGTGTTAGTACACGAGCTACAACATGGTTTGCATAACTAACCCTGAGAATACAGGCGAGGTGCAAAAATGCAGTCATTTACCTAGTGGACTTTGTCAACTTGGTTCCTATTCTTCCCCCTCAAAAAGTATACATGCATAGTATACAGAGATCCTTGTATAGAATTAGGAGCCAGAATTATATAGTAAGTGGTTTGGCTTCACCATAGGATTTACAATCCCAGTGCTGTGATGGTTTCCAACAGCCAGGAGCTCCTCTTTATAGGAAGAATTTCTCTGAAGTGAGGAAAAGTCATGCTATACCTGATGAGCTGGAACTTCAGGTATTTTACAATCATCCCATCCTCTGGATCATCTTTTAGTCAAAGAATGGATGAGAAGTCAACAGAAAATCTCTGGCACTTTAAAGAAGTATAAGTTGAAAGATGCCAGAAGAAAGACGCTGCACCCTATCTCCCATAGACTGATCAAAGTGTGTCTCTACCACAGGCTTTCAAGAAAGTGTTCGTGAAAGTACTTCATGCCCCTCATCTATATAGTGAACTAACTGAAACACATCTGTTTTCTCCTTGTATTATGCTCTAGTCTGCCATATTGGAAACTGTATAATACATCCCTGATAGGCTACATTTCTTTCTGTACTTCGTGTTCCATACAGAAAAACAGACATTCATACATGTTCTTATAATAAGAAGAAATTTGGACACACGAAGAGACATCAAGAGGATGTATGCATGGATTCACACCACACATAAAACACTAGAACAAGACATCCTTCAGAGAGAAGGAACCTCGCTGACATTTTGACCTGGACTTTTAGTTCCTACAAGTTGCAGAAAATTTCTTGCTGTTGTTTAAGCCATAGTTCATGATACATTGTTAAAGCAGAAAAAGTAGATTAAAAAAACAAAGTCAACTCAATGCGTTCCTCTTAGAGAAAAATGGAAGAGATAATAGGTGTTGCCTAACATCATACAGTCACTCAATGTCAAAGTCAGGACAAGGATTTGAAGTTTTAGGCTTCTACCGCATGATGATTGGAAGCCACATCTTTTGTTTAATATCCAAGGAAGTGTTGCAATCATTATTCGTATCTCAAGGCAAAAATATCTTGATTTCTTTCTAATTATGTTGTTAGTTCATTACCCAGGGTGTGGGACCCAGGGCTGAAGGATCATAAATAGCCACAGGGAGACCCCATAACTAGGGAGGAATAATCTGTCTCTCATGGTCCATAGCAAGCCTGTCCTTTCCCAAATCAGACCATTATCAACCAAGAACCAATGAATATCACAGACCATAAACCGTATGACATTGTATAGGAGCTCATTTAAATTTTCCCAAGACCGTATATCTGGGCTAAAAGGAAGCTTTTGGAGAATGAAATTCAGCAAAGGATGATCCCCAGCAGTCTGACCAGCCACTAAATCTGTGGGTCTTGTGATAAGATAAGGACATTAGGATTATATAGATATATGATTCCCCAAAATATTCATTGTAACAGAGCAAGGCTTGCATGGGGGTGTGCCCCTTACTTTTATCCAAGAAGGAAAAATGCATAGAAAGGAAAACCACAATAAAATGTCTACATGTCTCTTTCCATACAGTACAAATTGAGTGATGATTAGCCTAAGAAGACCACAAAGCTGCTTGCAACTACTCAGTGTGCCAGCACACACATTCACACACACACACCCATTAACCATCCTGCACTTTGGCCTAGTCATCTGGCTTCTGAAACGTGGTAAACAACTTTTGCTTTTGGCCTTTGACAATTGTGCAATGCTTTCCTAGGATAACACAAAAGGAGAGGAATGAATTAGTCTCCAAAATCACTATCGACTTGCATGCCCACTTGTGACTTCAGCCCTTCTACGAATAGAAGTGATCGTTTCTTGTCAATATTTAACTACCCTCTGGAAGCTCAATTATGGCCCTGATGGATCTGCAGAAAGGACGGATGAAGGTGGAGTCCAGTAAGTCTCACACCAGATGTCATTTGTTATTAGTCAGTCTAGTGCCCCGTGTCACTTTATTTGTATATAATTGTGTATTTCTTTTTTTGTTTGTTTGTTTAAGGAGTAGTTGCTCAGAATTATTGCTTTTGTCTCGGGAAATCCTCTAAACTTTCCCATGTGGATCATTTTTTCAGAAGGAATGTGCAAAGTTTGCTAATGCCTGTCAATTGTGACAGGGTGAAAGTGGTAACAGAAGATGGGGGAGAATTGTGCTGTATTTTCAGATCATTTGTTGGAGCTTTTTCAGAAGTATAACAACATGACTCAAGAAAAGGTAGAATTTGAGGGCTGTGAATTTTAGAATGCATTTTGCCCCAAATCAGTTTTAGGGAAGTTACAGAAATAGACCAGTTGAATCCCCTTACGATTAAGGAGAATGAAAGCTCTCATTTGGGATGAAACACCAAGAAATTCTTGGCTCAACCAAGTGTATTGGTGCACATCTGTAACCCCAGTTTTTGGGAAGCTTGGAAGGAGGATCACCATGAGTTCAAGGCCATCCTGGGCAACATAAATGAGTTAAAAGCCACCCTGAACTACATAGTGAGACCTTGTCTCAAGGACTGAGACAGAGATAGATATATAGAGAGAAAGAGAAGGAAGGAAAGAAAAAGAAGGAAGAAAAGAGAAAGAAAGAAAGGAAGAAAGGAAGGAAGGGAGGGAGGAAGGAAGGAAGGAAGGAAGGGAGGGAGGGAGGAAGGAAGGAAGGAAGGAAGAAAGGAAGGAAGGAAGGAAGAGAGAAAGCAACAAAGCAAGAAAAGCAAATCAAACAAAAACAAAGGAAAGCAAAACTTGACTCTCCCATTTTTCTGGGCGCCATCTGGAAAA